ATGACCCAATACAGTATTCCCTAATGGCCTTTTAGTTCGGAACGTGCTCACAACTCGTCGTTGGCTATTTGTTTTAGACAGACACCTATTGTTCGTCTTTACATTGATCACTGCATTACTGTTGTCATATTTTCCACTTCGAAAATGACGTTCCACGTTTTCCATTCATAATGTGCTGCGGAGAAGACGCCAACATTAGAAAGTTCTGGCCTTTCATAGTTCGTTTACCTGAGATTTCGCGATGCTTGATATTTGCATTCCTGTCTGCTCTTCGCCTTTCCATGCACAGTACGGGGGTAAAATTGTACTTGGAATTGTAATTTTTTTTATTTCCACTCACCTGTCTGATTTCGAACAGTAATCCGTCCGCTTGATTTTCCTGCTATTGATTATGAGCTCAGTAGCTTCCGACATTGATGTTTAATTAAATCGGCGGATATTGCAATTTTTATGCATTTTGTGCTTTGAACATCAAATCATCGGCACAAAGGAGCATCGAAATTTTTCATTGTCTATATCGAATCTCTTAGTTATCTTCGTTTCTCGCAAAACCATTTCTAATGCGCATATGGAAACCTTAGAGGTGTATATGCATCCTTGCTGCACGACACTGCCGATCGTAATTCTCAAAATTTTCGGGAAGCCTTATCTTCATTATGAATCATTTTAATGATGAGCATACAACATTCCCAGCACCTTCTAAGAGAATTGTCTTCCACTGTGCCATGGTGCAAACTTTTTTAAAAGATTCTGAAAACGTGTGTGCTTGCTTATTATTTTAGGTTACTTATTAATTGAGCTGGACTGAAAGCTTTTGCACGCAGAAGTGTTCTTTGCAGAAGATGCATAGAATTTTGTGCTCTAAGCCAGTTTTGTCTAATGATACTGCTGATGTTTCTTTTCGGGAAAGTAGATGTTCTTCAACTAGGGCGAATTTTAGAACTTATGGCAGCTCCAGCTGGTGCGGCGTCTTTGCCTTTTGAAAGCTTTTAAGATATTCAGACATAACATCAGTTTCCTCGTCAGACCTTTTAATATTGGTTCCCGTCAGGTATTAGGAAGCGCAGAAATAAACTGCTTTGGTTTGTCACGGTGGAGAATTGCTTTGCTTCTCCTTTCTGCTCTTTCGAAATTGGTGCTGGTTTTGCCCTCACCGACAGATGTTTGAAAATTGATGGATACGGTGAATCAAGAAATAACGGAAAAGTCCGTAGTCTATGTGAGCGTATGTCTAATACATCTCGACTGTCCTTAACTTTAATTGCATAGCTCCCCCAAGTCTCTGGAAGCGATCGACGTTTTTTTTTTGCCGTGGGAATCGGTGAATAATTTTTGTTATCTGATATCGATTGCATTTGATTCAGTAAACTCGATGCCGCTGATACCTCCCTTTGTGCCAAGAGTAACTTTTAAGCTATTCATAACATTTTTCGACGGATTTCGCACTCGGCAAGGAACAATTTATCATGAAAATTTTGCAGTTCGTCCAGTAAAAGAGCCATTGCGCGGTTCATCGTAGTGTTTTTACCTTGAAGTTCCTTGCGTTAATAAAACACTGTGACAGTCTTAATACTGCGTGGCACTCTTTGCTATCTCATCCTTATCCTCATCACTGTCTCTGCGAATGTGACGGGGGATTAGATGGAACTGAGGATCATCTGGCGTTGGTAATCAGCCTGCTGACGATCCTGATATCCTTGTACATCATCTGCAGTGGTGCTGCTCCCTCAGTGTTGTTCCCAATACATAAGCACTCACCCACTCCGAGCATTGCCTTGATATGTATTGAGCAGCTCTAGTTTGCCTCAAATGTTGTGTTACGACAAGTAATTTTAGAGCGTCGCAGATCGAGTGCGTACAAAACATCACTTTGTAATGCGTTTCGTGACACTGGTGAGTGCTCATACGGTCTGCAGTGTCGTTTTGCACATGGGATCGGTGAATTACGTCCGGCTCCTGAGGTATATTTTTAGGTACAAAGATGTCTATGTCCAAAAAAAAAAAAAAAAACGCAGAGCAGCGCTACCTGTGACTTGCTTTGCGTCAGCATAGCGGCTTCCACTAAACGCAGTATTTTATGGTTAGTTTAGGCTTTGCAGGAGGTTATTTTTTCCCGATCAGTTTCACAGCTCTCGGTATCGTCTCGATTTGTTTCTTTTTTTTTCCCTTATGCTCTTGTATTAGAATTTCAGTGCTTTGCTGGTTCGCATTGTATTCTATATCCGTGATTAATCTGTTGAGGTTTTTACAGCCGCATCCGAAGTACAAGACACAGCTGTGTAACAAATATGTGTTATACGGCTCATGCCCGTACGGCTTTCGTTGCCAGTTCATCCACATGCATCCACGCGAAATGCAGGACAATAGCTACCGGGTAGGCTGTGCAATCTTTCCCAAGTCAAGCACTTTTTTCTTTTACAAATAAAGGAATCAGTTTCTTTACATGGCACTTCATTCTGTTTGTTCTTCGGACATTAATCAAGGAGAATACTGTTGGTGATCAATGTCTAGCTGGTGATGGTCAGCTGTCTTGTTAACTCGAAATGCGGGGCGAGTTCGGGATTGAGGCGCAATCATATCGCATAAGTGCATACTCGCAAGGGTCCTCCAGTGCGGCCACAATTATCCAGTAATTGACTGGGTAAGAACCGGTACTATAGAACAGACCAGTTGTTTATACTGCCATTAATTTGCATTCGGTGCAGTGCACTAAAGCCACTCCGTGTATTTTGTTGAACTAGAGTGGGACTGTGAATGATAATTTGGTTGGTGTATGTTTTAAACAATTCGAAGACTTCTTAGACTAATACAAAAAAGCTTTTTCCTGTCATTTAACTGTGTAATTTGCATCTTAGAGTGTGGGTTGGGAAAGTCTCATGGATTGCATGGGAAAAACTGTTGGTGGCGGGGAGACGAGGGAAGGGGTGCTTGAGATTCATTGCTGGAGTACATTTTGCTGCACATTACTTTATCAAGGCTCCGATCTACGATTCCTCTGTTACACAGAACGATGCTCTGTAGCGCTTTATTTCAGTGATGCAGTGTTTAGTGTTAATACGGTTGACTGATGGCCAGCAGCCACAATAGCACTATTGAATTTAGGCACAGACGAATTTCTCATCAAGTCTGGATGGTCGCAGCAATGATGTGTTCGGTTATCTGCATCACTCGCAGTCCGGAAAAGCTAGGTATTCATGCGTTTATAGCTAACAAAAGATGGAGTAGTACATTATGTAAAGATAGGGTGATCTGCTGGTATCAAGTGAGAACTCTAGTGGGCTGTGGAGGCTTAAAGGCTGTATTGTGGCGGAACTCGATTTATTGATGAGATTGTCATTCAGTCACTGAGCGACGTCGAATGCAGCGGAGGTTTGATGCCATTTATGGTTAGTGTGTTAATGCGAATTCTTATCAAGATTTTGGACAGCGTTTAGGAAAATTGTTGATTAAGATGGGTGATTTTTTAGTCTGGGAAACAGCGCTCGTGGTTATGAGGCGCCCGCATCGCCGTACGATACATTCGCGCAACGTCGTATTGCCACTGCTGCCCTTGGTGATTTGCGCGGACCTACTGCTGTTTCCTCCTCAGAGGTTTGCAAATTCACTATTGCGATTTTAGCTAAATAGCAACGCGCACCAGAACAGCCGGTGCGATCAGGCATTTTATGCAATTCTGTCCACCGATGCCCGTTAATGATTTTCACTGCTTTGTACTTTAGTCTGTGCAAAAATAGTTGAAAGGCTGAAAATAGTTAAAAATTTCACGCACCGGCACTGAAAACTGAATTTGAAATCTCGAAGGGTGAATTTCCTTACAAAATATCAATCTCCTAATTTTCTGGCTTTCGAATGATCTTTAAGACAAAACTTACACATGGTCGTGCATGAGACCTCGGCATACTTAGAACTGAATTCGAGTTTGTAAGGCCTTTGGTTAGGCAGTAAACGTTTTCCTGAAATTTTCAGCCTCCTAACTCTTCTGGCTCCCGAGTTAATGATTTTTTTTGCCGAAACATCCACGCGGACGTTGAAAATTTGCGAAGTTGCGCGTGGGCAGGGGATATCACGCTAAAATTTCAGCTTCCTGGCTTTTGCAGTTCACGAAACAATTTCCCTACCAAAACTTTCACAGGGCTGTACGTGTTACCTAGGGGTGCGTGAAGGCTGAATCCAAATTTGCGGGGGTCGGACGTTGATAATGGATGTTGCCTTATAATTTCAGATTTCCAACTTTCTTGATTCCCGAGATAAAAATTCTCCTCGTCGAAACTTTCACGAGCTCGTAAGTGATACCTGTACGCTCGGGAAGGCTGAATTTAAATTTGCGGGGTCAAATATGGGCAGAGGACACTACAGCAAAACCGCAGCTTATTGGCTTTTATGGTTCCCGAGATAATAATTTCCCCGCCGAAATTTTCACGAACTGTAGGTGGTACCCGAGAGCGCGGGAACACTGAATTTGAATCTGCAAGGTCGTACGTGGGCAGGAGATCATCATCCTGAAATTTCAGTTTCCTAGATTCCGTGGTTCCCGAGACAATAATTTACCCCTCAAAATTTCCAAGAGGCCGCAGGTGATATCCGAGAGGGCGGGAGCGCTGAATTTAAATTTGCAGGGTTGTGCATGGGCAGGGGGAGGGGTCATAATCCTAAAATTTCAAATCCCTAGATTTCGTGGTTACTGAGATAATAATTCACCCGCCAAAATTTTTACGAGGCCGTTCGTGTTACCTGCGAGCAGGGGAAAGCTGGATTTAAATTTTCTGGGTAGTACGTAGGCAGGGAACATGCCCACAAAATTTCAGCCTTCCAGTTTCTGTGGTTCCCGAAATAATAATTTTACCCGCCCAAGCTTTTGCGGGGCTGTACGTGTTACCCGCGGGTACGGGGAGGCTAAATTTAAATTTGCGGAATCACTTGTCTGGGGAACGTTTCTCTTAATTTTTTGGCTTCCTAGCTTTTGTGGTTTTTGAGTTGAAAGTTACGAACAAGCTGCCGCGGACACACACACACACACACACACACACACACACACACACAAACACACAAACACAGACAACCCCGTGACATTGTGCGTTTTGTACTGCTGTTTCACAGCACAAAACGCATAAAAACTAGTAGATATGCTCCGGCAGATGGTTGCTGTCAAATTGTTATCGCAAGAACCACTTCGAAATGCCTTCGATTCTTTTAAAAGCAAACAGTGAAGATTTCGAATGTGTATTACTGCTCCTAAGAATCCCACGTTTTTGAAGCGAAGGAACACATTCAAGAATAACTTTTATTGATTTTCGTAAAAGTAACCCGGGGAGGAAGAAAAAGTTGATGAAGAGAGAAGAGAGAGACTTGTTGCGATAACATAATGCACAGATTTGGGTAGTGAGGCTGCACCGATGAAGTCTTAGTGAGGCTGCACCGGTATCAGCTGTAGAGCAGCGAGCATTTAAGCTGACTCAAATTCCTGAGGGCGACGGTTTGTACACTGACTGTTTTGAGTTTAACTCATGAATTCAAGAGTCAGTTCTGTAGTAGGTTTCAACTCGCGTTCCCTTTTGTTTCAAGTAATGAGAACTTTGGGGCAAATGGGGCACCGATGGAAGCTTTGCAAACTCTGCGAAGAAAAATCCTTGTTTGCAGGCTTTTCGATTGCAAAATCCAGGTTCTGATATCAAAACAGGTCGGAAGACGGAACAGTGCCATCAACGAACGAATATCTTGCAACTAGCGAATTCAGTAAGTGCGAATAGTCCGGATGTCTCAGCAGTGGATGACATGTTGAGCACTCTGTGAGTTTTTTGGAGCAGTTCAGTGTTCTCATTACGATACTACAAGGCTGTGGGAGGGCATCGATCTGCTCTTCATCTCTTGCAGGGGGCCGCCTTCCCTCACCTCTGTGATTGGCTGCAAATTTTCACTGCAGTAACGGAAATCAACAATGTTTGGTAGTTCTGTCGGGATGTCTGGCCCGCATACCTCGTCGTAGTCAGGAGTTTCAGATTGTGGAGGCTGTTGTCTAACGAGGATGCGGATAGTTTGAGTGTCCCTGTGGTTTATTTCAGGCCTCCTGAGCGTCTAAACAGCACTTTGAAGGCAAATAATTTGTCTTTGTTAGTTATCACTTTTGTTTAGTTAGTTCTAATGTTTTTAAATCTATTTTTTGTCTGTGATATATTTTTTGGGCGGTTTTCTCCGTTTACTCTGCTCGCGCTCTATGTCGGTTTTTGCCATCGTTTTTCTGTCCCAATTGTAAAACTCTTACCACACGTCAGCCTCTCACAACACTTCCTTAACTGCAGCAGCCCGTTGGCAAATATTCGCTCTTGAATGTCAGCAATGTTAACTAATAAAAGGAGCAATCCGGAGATGAACGAACATTTCGACATTTCGATTTGTAAGCACTGTTGTTTAGGATCTTCAAGATTCTTCACTGATATTATAACAGGCGCTCTCAATAAGGAGGAAATGAGGGAATGATTTGTATGTCAATAACTGTACCCTGCTTAATAAAGTGGCGCTCGGAAAAATAGCGTTGTAATCTCCATCAGGTCATAAGGTCGATTGCCAAAAGAGGGTCAAAACTAGTCTTATCAGAAAGTCAGAAAACTTCCTCCTTATTCGCTTCGTGTGAGAGGCTGAGCTATCTGGGAAGTAACTCCGGTGATACGAAGTGCCAGCAGCAACTACGGCGCTCTCACCATGGTTCGGTGGCTCTCTCTTTTAAGGATTTCTTATAACCGAATGAGGGGTTTGATTCCCAGGCATGCCATTACTACATAAAGCTGGTGGACTTTGTGCAGAGAGAAGTATTACTGTTGTCATGCAATAAGTCAAAGATTCGATCTTGCCAGTGAGACAGTCAGTTCCTCCATAACTAGTCCACTTGTTTTGGTGGCAAATTGGTACTAACGTATACTGGGGAGGCAAAACCGCCATTAGCTTGCTTGCAAGCAACCATCAAAAGAAGAGGCCATTGCCAGTGAATGGTGCTTTTGGCACTTGCTGCCCAAGTGGGGTACTTCACAATTGCCTCTACCTTTCACGGAGAGAGAATAGGGAAAGAGTTTTGACTTTTGCATTATTTTATGCATACATTTAGCATTTATTCGTCATGTTTAAGTAACAGATATTTTTTTAGGAGTGTTGACGATAGAACGAATCCATTCACTCAGTCATGTTTTCCACGGATTAATTTTGATGGGAACATTGGGACTTCTGCGCATACAGACAATGACCAGGCAAACTAAGCAGCAAGTATCAATACTCAGATCCTTAGCCTTCAATTGACGAACCTCCGCTTTCATATTTTCCAGTACGTCTATTATATGCAGTATTAGATTTTCCACTATTTTCAAAACATTTGCTGCTGTATATGTGAATTGTCACTAAATTGCTACTGAACTGCTGCTACTGAACTGCTACTGAATTGCTAAAAAACATATTTATATTCAGTTTGTTTTATTTTACTGAAGTGATTCCGTACGTTTTTTTGTGGAGTTTCTTTTGGCTTCTGAAGAGCCTGTTGCTGTTGAATTTCAATACACTTTACGCCTAAATTTTTATTTCCATATTAAATCTGTTGTCCTCTGTCTCTAGTCATCTTTATTCTCATTTGCTGTTATGTGTGAGCAAAGCTCAGTAATTTTGTTTCTTCTTTCTTTTTTATGTATTTGTAATTTTCGCAATTTGCGTTTATATATTACATCCGCTTCGAGCTTGTGTTTTATGTACAACATTTCAAGTTGCCTTGAGTCGCAACTTTGGAATGAAGAGAAGGCGGGGGC